ATGCAGAATGTTCTTGAAACAAATTTGAGCCATATAAAATTATTTATTCTGAAATCCGCTTAGAGATTGGAAATCACAAACAGACATTTTCCATGTTTATTCTGAATAACAGATTCAGTTAATTTAAAGGATGATAGGATAAAAAGATAATTATCTTAGCTTCTTTTGCTTGATTGAAACCTTTTGTTACCTGACAACTGAATTTCAGGTACAAAGCACAATTTCATACTATGTCAGGATTAAAATGTAATCACATAAATAGACTGACCCCTACAAGACAAAAACAGCATCAGACATCATAAGCTTTTACGTAACAACACAGTGTACAGAACCCTCCAAACTAAGAGAGAATGACTTAAAAGTATCCCACTTTCACTTTTCACTGTAATTACAGTGAGTACAGATGGTTCTGACCACTGCTTCTGAAAAAATACAGTGGAGAGAGATACTCATACAAAATAAACAGGTACACAGTACTGTCAATCATGAAGAGTCAAATTCATGGGCCACCCATCTGTATTCTTTGATTTTTTTTAATTAAGAAATAACTTTTCATAAAGCCATTGGCTATGCTCTTAGATCCATACCCCCACCCCCTAAACAGGAAAAAAAAACACGAACCAATCAGTGAGCTCTATAATTTTTAAACTCAGACCTTCAGGAAAGGTTGCTCTGCATCTTGCAAGTATGAGGAATGACGGAATTGTGGCAGCACCTCTGTTCCGAGTTTTTCTACCACCTTCAGAAACAAATGGAATAAAGAACGGGATTCGGAGTACTGTGAGTAAGAGAAGGCTGGAAACACTTTTTTTTAATTTTTCTCAAATCTGTGCTGAACTGTTTTTTGCAAGAGTAGATATCAATCCTGCCTTAACCTTCTAAATGTATAAAGTTGCTGTAGTAGATACGTAACAGCGTTTAACATGGGACCTACAGACTACAGAGAAAAGTATTATTACACATACAGCATTTCCCTGAAAGTCCAGGCCTTTGTTCTCAAGAAAAGGGTTTCAGTTCAAAACACCGTTCCACTTTGATTGCTACAGTAGAGCAACAACTTGGATACTAAAACATACCAAAAAGCTCTTACAAGACAGCACGCCCGCAGTCTTGTATACAACCACCACATAACTGGAAAACTACTGCTGTTGGTTCATATGGTAAATAAGTGCCATCTGCTATTGCAGCTATTCAAACAGCCCTACTGCATATTCTTCAGTGCATAATTTATTCTCAAACGACTACAGATTAAATTTTTCATAAAATTAAGCACTAAGCTTTTTCAATGTTTTTACAACGTCCACTCTCCCCCACCCAGCTTCCTTTTTTCAGGATGAAATGCTTGGCATTAACATTAAAAATAAACACGCGCAAGCCAGGCTTGAGAAGAAAGTAACCAAGAGTAGATTTTAAAGTCTAAGTGTCTATCATTTACAATGCACTGAAGCACAGAAAAAAAAAACTCACACACTGATGTGGATAATTAAAGTGTAGGAGCCTCTTAAACATGTAATACAGTCTTTTATCACAAGAAGTCAATCTATCTCAGGCTGACAGCTAACAGCATATGATCTGGTAAACAAATACTTTCACGCGGTACAAAAGTGCCATTAAAGGCCAAAACTGTCAACACAGATTCCATTCTTGCTGGAGAAAAAATATAAACTGTTGATCACCTCTGGTTGCCTTAACTAGCATGGAGGTTGTCATGGAAACATTTCTATGAAGTTCGCAGTGATAAAAACAGAAACATTTCCAGTTTAATTGCTATTAGGCTTAGTCCAGCACAGTTTATATATACATGAAGCCCATACGTTAAAACACTGGCAGACTTCGGGAAAGACAATGTTTTGACAAATGAAACCATAGTACACAAGCTTTTCTTTTTCCAGTTTTTCCAAAACACTGAAAACCCCTCCAAGGTTGAACAAGCACCAATATATCTTTACCACACGTTGTTAGGAGAGGGGCGGAGGGAAAAAAACTTGGCATAGACAACGTGAAGTTTACCGCAAGAAAATGATCAAATAAACTTAACACTCAGCTGTAATTTGTATTATACCACAAAAAGCAAATTAATTTCTTAATGCATTTCCCAAAATATTAGTTTTCAAAGTAAAAATGGGTATTTACTTCAAGCATAACACAATTTAATGTAAGCTTCCAATCCTTTTTTTCTATGTAGAAGAAACTGGCAAGTGATTATCTAATTATTTCATGCAGCATAAATGAAGGATTCAAAAATGTCTCCCCCCAAAAAATGGATTCACTCTGAATTATAAGCAACTAACTCATCTTTGAGTGGAACCAAACAGTTTCTTCAAGTTTGTTTTATTTCAGAAAGCATAGGTGAAAGCTGCAGCTACTTTTAACCACAGTTGTATATATCAATGAATCAATGATATACAATTTGAAATCTATCTACTATACATGGTCAACTTCAAATGACATTCATTCTGGGGTGGTTATAAAAATGAGCAAGGACAACTCCCTGAACAGTAATTATTTGAGAAGCTGCAACACTACTTTAAAGGAGTGAAAAAAGCCGGGACACTCAAAACTGTTCATAGTTATGACCTTAATCATCATTGAATAGATTTTATGATTCACGCAGGTGCATCTACATAATGTACTGGCCCAACCACTCAACAAACAGGAGCACAATTTATCCGAAATCTAGATGCTACTGAAGTGTGGAATAAATTATCATTCCTAGTTTCACAATCCGAAACACTTTGTCAGATAAGTCAAAAACTACAGAACTTTAAACAGGAAAAGGCTTACAATGCTGACATAGTATCACAAGGTATTCATTAAATGTGATTTTACCTTTAATCAACGAAACGTGATTAAATGTGATGGTACAGACCTTCACTTCAGTATACTCGTCCAAAAAAATCTGCTGTTGCTAAAAACAGTCAGGACTAAACCCTGGTAAATTAATGGGGGAAATTGACCACTGATTAGGTGTGAGGGATCTGTCGGAGTACTCTGCTGGTTGTACACGCAACTGATACCGAGTTATTTTCAAGCCCCGTTACAGCTGCAGCGCTGACCGAAACTGTTAAAAAAGGCCAGGGACTAATAGTAATGCACTCTGTGATAAGAACTACCCCTCCAATCTGCTAATTACACAGACTACCAAAATGAAATTTCAAATTAACAATTGGGCTTCGAAGACCTCAAGAATATGAAAACGACGCAGTCAGCTATGGTAAGACTTTTCGTCAATGTTCCTTATTCGTTTTAGCTGTGAAAATATACCGTTAAAAATTATTAACAGGAGGTGCGCCACAACAAAAAAGGGAACGCTTTTAGCTAGTATGAAAATTTACAAAGCTCTAGATTACAGAAGCTTTGTACAATGGGTCCTTCGGCTTGTAATCAACCGTAATCAACTTCACAATTACACAAAATACATGACTACAAAGATATTGTTAATAACTTTAGACAATGTTGTTAACTACATCAGTCTCATTGTAGTAATGAGCTGTAAAACTGTCATGCAAATAACCTACAAATAACAATGGAGTTCCATAGAACAACGATCTTTTAAAAAACCTTTTTTTTTCCAATTGACCGAACATAATTTAATTAGTATTTATTTTCATAATCTTTAAGTTCAAAATAGCGAATGGAGACAAGCAAGTTGTATTCTGAATTTTAATGTAGAGTCCCTACCGAAAGTGTGTGGAATGTTGAAAAAATACATTTTAAAGTGCACCGATAAGACTAATATTAATTTTAAGGTGGCACGTTTTTCGGCACTTTCATTGCAATTTTGAAGGAATGGAGTGCGCTATACACCGTTATACACGGCAACTTTTTACCTCTTGCTCTATACACTATATTAAGATGTACCCGTTGATAAACTTTAACAAAATAAACTTCAGAATAAATCTATACTTTGGTCACGTGCGATATGGACCTAAACCTACGATCGGTGATAATATCACGTTGAATTATCTTTCAGATCTCACCAGAACATTTGAATATTAGGACATTTACACATAATAATCCGCGGCTGCCCATGACTGTCTTTACATCCCGTAGCTACAGCAACCTTTTCAAAACGACATCTCAATCGATAGACATCTACAGAAAACTCTTGTCTGGAAAAGGCAACGTTGAAGATTTTCCTCTAAAGTTGCGTATTATCCAACACAACACTCATCTTAAAAAAAAACTGTGAAATTGGAAAGTAACGCATAACAACAATGATGATGGTGTGGTCATCGCCGTGTAAAACAATGACTGTAGTTGCTCTAGTTGACCACAAAGGGTTACCGGTCATTTTTAAAACTGAACTTCACTTTCTTTCTACAAATGCGGGGATGTGATCCTTACAATTCCAATTCTACTTATAGTATGATGGAACACATTTAAAAACGTGTAAAAAAATTAAAAAACGATCGTGTTATCGCCCTTTACCATAGTTTTGCGTTCTTGCTGTTTGTTGCAAGAAATCGAATGATTTTCAGACAGTGATTCTTTCTGTTATTTAAAAAGTGGTTGCCTTCAAAACGCACGTTGGCACACACCTATTCACAAAAGGAGTCGAATTAATATCAAATGCATCAATAAGTTTTAAAAAAAGGATTTATTTCAAAAGTTTGAGGTCTGCATTAATCCTTTAAACGCGCCAAGGCGTTGTTTAGAAATAATCCAGAAAAATAATAAAGTGGGATCTAACGCCTGCACGTCTCTATAAAGTAGCTACTTTCTCAGCATGAGAACGACAGCAGTGCTTAAGAATGCAATCGCGGCAACTTATCAACATTCACCAGCTTGAAACACAAAAAAAAATGATCAAATGCAACACTTCGAGAAAGCCCTAATAGCATTGGAAAGGCACGATATTGCACACAACTAAATGTGTGCGTTGCATTTCAGATGCAAACCGGAGGAACAAGTGAAGTTAAGTTAGCTGGCAGCGTAATGAGAAAAGTGAAAGTCAGGAGAGAAAAAAAAGGAGAAACGCAGAAAGAGTGCAAACTTACCGAGATGCCGATTTATTTCCTTTTCGAAAACAAGAGCCGCCAGCTGTGCGGGAGTTGCAGTGAGTTTCGGTGTTTGGAAGGGTTCACACGTGAGAGTGTGGGTTAATCAGAAAATAGAAAATGAACAACAAGCCGAAGAATAAATAACAACTGCGATATTCCTCCGCTCGCGTTGGGCTCGGAGATGCACGCGTTGTCTCGCGCTCTCTTCTTCAGCCACTGCTGCTGTTATTATTAATGCAAAAGGAAAAAAAAACTGTACACTAAGTCCTGTTAGATTGCTCTCACATGACTCACAGTAAGAAGATGTAGCATGTTTGTCTATTAGAATTGAATATATCTAAAAAACAGTCAACTAAGTATTTGGGACTAGCTTATTAGAACGCTGCCCCAGGGGAGGTACTCGCGCGGAGTTGGATATTGTTATTTTTTGGAGTACCTCGACCCAAGGTGACGTCACGTCCACCTGCTATGTAAACAAAAAGTCTTTGGAAGTTGTTTGTTTGTCCCTCTTTTTTTTTTCTCTCGGGGGCAAGAGCAGTCAAAGTTTGCCTTTTGTAAAGTAGGGGGGCGCTGGTTACCGCCGGATCCGTTCGCAGGTTTAATAAAGAGACGCTGGCTCTTTGTGTTGCAGACAAGTTGACCCACTGTATAGAGAACCAGTGGCAAATACAGTCACGGTGTTTAAGAAGGAATATACAGTACTGTGTATGTATGCTTCAGAGGGGAGGGGGCGGTCATTGTTTCACTGTGCAACTTACACAGAAATATGTATTTTCCCCATATTTCGCCGAGACAACACACGTCAAGGCTCTCATCGTGTTTTTTCACCCACTTTGAGTGAGTGTGATACAACGGCATCTACGTGTCAGATAACAGCCTGCGAGACCCTGTTTATGAGTGAGGCTATAGGAAAGGTTTAAGGATGCGTTAAAACAGACGTTTAGTTATGAATGCGTTTCAACTTTCCGTCTTCGGACTGTTTCTCATTATTAGGCAATAAAAACATATTGGAAAATAAGGATATAGACTAGAGGTCAGACGAAAAAACAGTAGGGAGTTGGCTACCTTATTTTTTTTTGCTTCAATGACAATTAGTCGCTTTATTCAGTTATGCTAACCGCTTTGTAAGATCAAATACTGCAGTTTAACATCTGAACCTCGGCGTTTTATTACTATTTTGATATATAGAGTATCCGTTCGCAATCTGTTTGAGTTACGGCACGGGACTTGAAGGGCATTAAAATTTAAAGTTAAAAGATATTAGTAATTGGACGAAAAGAAAATGGGAAATTGGAATTTTTACTGACTGGCTAAACCGAAACACGGGTCGCATTCTGTAACCTAAAAAGTAGCATTTGCAAAGAATGTTTTGCTTGAGTCATACATAAAAAGGAGAAAAAGTTTTTTTTTTAAATCGAAACGAGAATATTTCGAAGTATACAATCACACAGGTGTTTAGATTGGTCACCTACGCAAAAGTACTAAACACGGTGCTCAAGAACAACACCGCAGAGTAATTGTACCTATCCTGAAGGGATAGTATACGAAATCAACTGAAAGGGATAGCGAAATCAACTGAAATATTTAGTCTTTTCCATTTTAAAATATTTAATTTTAAAGTTTAGATATTAAAAGTGAACCTCAATGTATCACTTTCCATCCCCACACAAAGCGCGCCTCGTTTTATCCTATGTTGGAAATGTTGTATCGATAAATCAAGACCGTCTACAATTTGAAGCACCTCCAAAACTAATGTTGTCTTTAATTTTATGATAGTCATTGTTCTGGAATTAGAACGCCTGTTCTATTGGTTTGGTTGGATACGTACTAAAGAGATGCATACAGCCTTAACTGTGCAGAATTTGGTTTGGTTTGGTCTTAAAACTACAGGTTAAAACTTCCTTTAATTGTTTAGAGATCGCAACTGATTAGCAAATTGAAACTATTTTTAAAATAGTGTATGTGTAGGTTCACAAGTACGGCTCGTGATTCCTACAGCTGTCACTTTTTAAAGGTGTGCGCTGGTCTGACTGTAGGCATTGCAAGTGACAAGTAGGCAACGGGACTGCGCCAGCGAAGACGGGCATTACAATGAAGAGTCTGTTCCTCGCAGCCCTCGACTTTACAGCCAGGACGGGTTCGCAAGGTGAAAGTTCAGGAGAAGGACACTTTTTTTTATTGACTGCCGGGAGTGGTACTTGCTTGTTTGGGAATTTTAGGCCGATAGAAGTGCGAAATTATTTTCCAAGTGAATTAAAAATCATACTTTTATTTACAGGCTTGCTTGTATTTTTTAAAATCTTTTTTTCATGCTGTTCTTTTAAATTAGTCAAAAGCAAAAAAAAATGTTTATATGTCTATAAATGTTTTGTATAGTAAACGTTTGAGGTGGGCGTTTTTGTGTAATGTTGCGCGACGGCTTTTTAAGATACATTTCTGGAATTATACATCCTATGGATAGAATATACATTTTTATATAGAACTGGTGCACAATACAAAAATATTGCTTTTTAAATGTTTTAAGTCAGCCCTACGATAAGCTAGAAATTTTGGCGTGCCGTAACTTCGGCTAAATACAAATGATTGTTTTAAAGTCAGTTATTCGAATTTATCGTGACCATCGAAATGCGAAGCACCTAAAAATTTAAGTATATAACCCAACATTCCCCACTTCCAAAAGGATAATAAATTAAATACAATTAAAACTAGTGAGGTTATTTAATAATAAAGGAACCATAAATAACGTCCTTTTTTCTTTCGGAATATTCAGTTTGGCCAATTTTTAACAGCTTCCATCGGATGTGCGCTAACTGCGGTTAGCAAAATAAATCAACCTGTGTTTAAAAGCATTGACTTCGCTAATTTTAAAAGGTACTTGTCGGTACTGTTAAACTTTTAGCGGTACAACAATGTTAAAGCGCCGGTAATATTTTAAGACAATCCGCTTGACATTTGAGCGGTTTGCGAAATATTTATACGCTGTAGTGGATTTATACCGCCATCTCGTGACAGCTTTAAAAAATGGGGCAATGACAAAGACAGTTTTTTGGGTTCAACTTGAAAGAAAAAAGTCGTTAAACCAGGGGTTGCACGTGTATATGGAGTATATATGTTTTACAATTTCAACAATATATTGTGTATCAATTACAACACAGTTAAACATGCTACACGTATATTCTATTTGTGTGTGCGTAGTGTGCAATAGAAAATGTGACGACTGGGGGTTGAATAGCTTTTTGGCAAATCAGGACATTTTAAATAAAATCAGTGATAAAGCCCTGATATGATTTTTTAAAAATGGAACAGGAATAAATGTTCGCGAACGGTTACACTTCGGTACCATTTACAAAAAAATGCAGAGGTGTTCCTGTTGAGGAATAATTATTTTTCGAAACAATTATTTTAAAAGAAAAACATATAGCCTTCTTTTTTTAACAGTCAACGCCGTATTAAAGATCCAATCAAGGTAACTAGAAGTTATATCTGAAAGTCCGCCTTTTTTATATCTTTTAGATTTTTTAACAGCAAAAACAGCCATCAAAAAGTAGTTGTATAGTCGGCGGTTTATATCTTATTTAAAATCCGTTTAAGAAAGCATTTGCGTAGATAATATACTACAGTATACCTGCAGTCATCACACCTACCATATTTTCTATAGTAAAATAATCTGTATCGGTACCTATGTTGACCAGACACCGCACAGGTTTCACTGTGAAAAGAGAAATACAAGTAGAACTAAGAAATGTGTATACAGAACAGCAAAAATCAAATAAAATAGACTAATTTTTAAAGAAAACATTTAAATAACGTAGAAAGAATGAAACGGTTTATTAAGCATTACAGTGGTGGTGGTACAACAGATTTGTTGAACTGTATGGTATTAGGTCACGAACTATTAGTAATAGTGGTATTAATAGTGTCATTGATGTCTTTCACACTCAGAAAGTAGGAGTCATTAACGATTATTTCAATATTAAAGTATGAAATAATATAAGTGTCTCAAAACCTAAAACTTGTTTATGTTCTAAAACGGAGAATATAGCTGTTTATGTGATCCAAGTTCACTTAAAACAAACCTACAGTACACAACTGTCTTGCATTGGGTGCAAACCCTAAAAATATAGGTTTGTCGCCATCTAGTGACCGTATTATGATAATCAATGTGGAGGGCATTTTCATGCGCTACGAGCGTCAAAAAGTACAGATAAGCATGCACGGTCAGTTACGAGTGACGATATAAAACAATATTTGGTCTTACTGTCAATATCGGCAGAATATTAGAATTATTAGAAAACTTAGAATTATTCTCATAAGAATTTAACCTAATTTGCAAACAAGGCTATGACCAAGCATATAACGATCTAAGCAGTGACTGTAACATCAAGCTGTTTTTTTTCCAGGGATTGCTATGAATTGGGTCTAATTAATTTACTCCAGAAACATTTCAAACAAATAACCACATTATTTGCAAAACAGTGTTCCGCCTATCACTTCAGAATCTACTTTCAAGATCTTTTTCAATAAACCCCCACATTTGTCAGAAGAAAAAAAGCTGCATTCTGCTTCTTAATGTTGAGGCAGCACAATTCAAACGAATGCATTGAGCTGTCTTTTATCGTTTGTTTATTGCGGTTGGTAGGATCACTTCCAGCTCCGCTGATTTGTTAGTAAAAATGTATCAGGGCAAACTGTTGCGCAACGCAACGTTTAATCTGTGCTCAGAAACGTGATGATCCTAAATCTGGATGCTTTAGCATGTGCCCACAGATTTACACATGATTTACCTTATTTTAATATACTTGGGCAACGTCAACTTCCATTTATTCCGACTGTGCCTACAGTATGTCTCACAAACAGATTTCAGCTTTCCGCATCACAATTGGATATTAATATACTCAAATCAGATTCTTCCCGATATTATTACACTAAGGACGGACATCCAAATTCAAACCTGACTGGCAACATTTCCGCCTGTAATATAACACAGAAGTCTAGATAATTGCTAGAGGAACGGAGATCAAATTTAATGACGGTCTCAAAAGGACAGTTTTAGCCACTCCTGGTGGGCTGCAGGATTTCACATTCCTCCAGTGTTGTTAGAAGCATGATCTATTGGAAGCGCTCTGAGGAGTCATTTAGGACTATTGTGCTTCAGGTCTGTTTGGGACCTTAATTACAATGTTTTAAGATCAGCAGCGGAGTATTGCTGCGGATTTTTTTGGCATATTAAACACACATTAATCATCAGAAAGGATTCTTCCTCGTTTGGTGTTAGCAAGTATAATGAAGGTAGTGTACCCGAGAAAAATGTTTGCTAGTTCCACTTTATCTATACCAGTTTTGGAATTATTTTTTATCATAGAAACTGTTCTATTTATGTTTTTCTCGTATAATCGAGTGTCACCATGGTAATTTGTTCCTGCTAATGACGTTAATATATTCTGTTATTAAAAAAGAAATTCGTGACAATGGTAATTCTTTACAAGCAAATATTTTTTTGTAGGTAGTGCATAAACCAAGTTCACAAAGGCTAATGGATTTTGGATTATGTAATGTATTTGTTTATACAGTACCTCTAAAGCATACTGTAAAGTATGCTCAAGGTCTTCAGTTCTGAGTCCAGAATGCTAAAAGATGTACAATCCACATTTAATCAGTTAATGTTTCAGTCTTTGATTTCCATGGCAACTTTTGTAAAAGTTTGCATAACAGTCAAAGTTTTCATAGTACTATAAGAAAAGATTCTTACAAAATACAATAAATCAATTATCATAAAAAGCAGTGAATACATGTACAGCAAATGCAC